ACTAGTAGTACCTTCAGTACACTGTTTAGTTTTTTTTAATTGTTTAGTGTCTTGCATACCAGAAATTTAGTTTGTTTTCCTTCGTTTTGTTTATCATCCACCGATTCTTATTATTACATTTTTTTGTTGTTTCGTTATTCCTCAGTTTTTTCATTTTTTATTATTCAATATAATATTTTATTTACGAAGTCGAGTTTTCTTTCAAAACTCCAACTTCGTAACCTCCTAGAAAAGAAAAAAAAGCTGCGAACTCTCAAAATTCTAAGTAAAACCTACTTAAGACATTTCCTTCGTGCAAAAGGCAGAATTCATGTTTCCTTTCGGACATAGCCTACTGATCCAAAAAATTTTATGTGAAGTTAATACTTCACAGAGCCCAAAAAAAAATCAAATTTTACACCTCCTTCAATCTGGACCATTACTTGAGGGACACCCTGTATATGTTAATTGATGATTTTTTTCATTCATCATCTATATGCTCTTTCCACAATACGCATGATTGCAATACTCATGAACATGTTCGAGAAGAATGAAATTTTACTTGCAATCATTTTCCTAATGGTGATTCAACAACGAGCACACGAAATGGAATGTGAAATTCCCGTAGACGCGAACCCAGTCACGAAATACGTAAACACTGTTTCAAATGGAAAGAGAGCCTACAAAGGTGCTAGGAAATACTTCAGGGATTATTGTGAGAATTCAAGTATCATAGGATTCAAATATCTGGGAGAAAAAAGATCCAGAGGGGAAAGGTAACAAGATATGCTCCAAAGATTATTTTCATTCTGCATTGGCATGTGATAATTTTTCATCCATTCATTGATATTGTTCATTGAGAGTCTCATTCCTTTATTATATCAAAAATTAATGATGGATGCATCCAGTGACGTTGATAACGCTGAGTAGAGCTGAAAATTACTATCCATTTAGGATTCTTTTTTGGGAAAGACAGTTTTTGGCTTTCTACTACTCCATCTTGATACAAAAAAAAATGTCGGAATCTTCCATAAAAAGGAAGGAAGTAATCAATTTGAAAATAAGTAACTCTTTACATGGATGTGTAGATCATGCAAAGAAGTAACTTTCAGACACAAACTGAAAGAAAGTCCTCCTGAAACAGCTAACCCCTTCAATTCAAATTTATGATTCATTATGATACTCGAAAAATATTCATTTTATGAATTTCACTTGAAAGACGTTTCAGCAAACCATGGTTTCTTCAGTTCAATTGGTACTTTACCTAGCTTGCAAAGTATTTTATATGAACTACCAATCTTCATTTCTTGATGAAATTCAGTTTTGGCTTTTCAATAATGATCTCTCCAAGTTGTTATAATTAGTTTTTCATTAGCTTTCAAGGAAACACAGTTTCAATACAATAACTGCCTATAACGATTGAGTAGTACTAGATTAGTACATACATTCAAAGAACAAGTTGTATATTACGAATAATTAACTTTTTGTTGGTTGTTCAAAATTAAAGTTGATTGTTTGCGTTTATTGATTTCCTGGGAATCCCGCTGATTGAATTTTTGTTCCCCAGTCGCTTGATGGGTATAGGAGCTCCTGACACAAGGTGCAGGGCCTGCCGCGAGGTGTCCGAGACCCTAATGCATTCGCTGTAAGCATGTCCAGCATATTTGGTGTCAGCCTATATTCATCGACATGACGTGGCGCTAAGAGTGCTTTATCACTATCTACGGCACTTTTATGTTATTGACGCTCCTACGCTCCTGGAGATGTTGAATTCGTTGTGAGGAATCAGAAGAACCGAATTCAACGAAACTATTATGTCACCAACTTCAGGCTCATACGAACTAATGAGCCTGACATAGTTCTTCTCAACCATCGAAATAAGATGATATTCGTCGTGGAGTTCCAAGTTCCCCGTGATACCGATATCATCCAAAAAGAGGAGGAATAACGAACGAAATATGTAAATTTTTTCTTCGAGCTCCGGAGACGCTATCCCAACCATTTTGTTGATATGGTTTGCTCTGATTATTGGTGAAATGATGCCGTCTCCATTCTCGAATGCCAAGATCGTGTAGGCTTGCAGAACGATGGCAGGAATCACAGCCGGACAAATGCGGAAAGCTGTTATTCTTAGCTTATTGCGTCTGCTAAAAGCACATGATTCACTGATCCAGTGGTCACTTACCCCACGGTGGGAAGAGTAGTCACTGGTTGATAATGCTGATGCGCTGTCACCAATGTGTCGGATCTTCGGGGATAGGGCCCGAAAAATCAACCCTGTGGACTAAAAAAATAATGATGATAGTGATGAATCTGAAAAAAAGGCAATACAGGGATTATAGAGAGAATGAGCAACTCATAAATGGAAGCATTCTGCGCTATCTGGATTCGGGAAAGACGCATTCTCACCTCGGATTGAAACAACGTCACTCACAAGGGCTAACAACAATTACTCATCAGCACTTATCAGCACAATTCCAATGGATCTGGTCATCGAAAGTAATCGTTTGGAGTCGTAAAAAAAACTTGTAGGGTGATGTATAAACTCGACATAAAATACAAAAAAAGGTCACATCTCCATTGAAGTTTGGATCTCAAATCATTAGTACCACAATTGTACTTTTCCATTCTCATTAGACATTTGGGTTTGGATTATTTTATTTACATGACAAAATGGTACTAGAGCCTGTTGAATCATCAGGAGTTCAGATTTCCCTCTCTGCCCTTTCCGCGATCACGGGAGAGCAGGAATTGGTGCATTCTTCTTCAGGACAGCTGCCCAAACGGCTGATGAACTCGATTTAGTTTATGACACTGAACGGAGTGATCATAATTTTGTCAACGAGTTGGAACTTGTTCAGCAAAAGGCCCACATGAAAGCAGCAGAGATTACTTCTATCCTGTGGCAACCCAAGGATAACCTAATGCATGATGTCGTCTCCAATAGCATTGAAGACCTTGGTTTATCAGATCAGCTGTTCTTCCCTTTCTTCAGGTCTAGTGGGCTAAAGCCTGAACCATCTTACATGATAGCGTAATGGATATATAGGTTCTCAACACCAGGTACAAAGCTTGCCACGATGTGCTTGAGAACCCAAAGCACTTGTTGTTAACATATACGATGTATGCTGTCTCAGCATACGGATATGACCGTTGATGTAACGCGCTGCACACCGATCTAAGTGCCTTCATCTATTGATGAAACACCAGTGAGTGATCATAATTTTGTCAATGATTTGGAACTTGTTCAGCAAAAAGCCCACATGAAAACAGCAGAGATTATTTCTATCCTGTGGCAGCAGAGGATAACCTAATGCATGATGTCGTCTTTAACAGCATTGAAGACCTTGGTTTATCAGATCAGCTGTTCTTCCCTTTCTTTAAATCTAGTGGGCTGAAGCCGGAAACTGAGGGGTTCATCATGACCTACAAGGATTGTGTCTTCAACATCTCCATCTCACATGGTAGCATGATGGATATATAGGTTCTCGAAACCAGATTCAAAGCCTGCCACGATATGATTAAGATTCCAAACCACTTGCTGTTAGTATATCCGATATATGCTGTCTCAGCTTATATCCGTTGATGCAACACTATTGTACTACGGGGGAAATGAATCCATTTTGTCCGAATTTATGGGCACTATTTTCCTCCATCCTCAGGCTGATACAAGAGAATAAGTCTGCTCGACCGTCAGAGTACCCGTCATGAAGTTTTCAGCTCCGGGGTGATACGAATGTCGTCCGTGAAGAGGAGATAACTGCAAACACCATCCAGACCACTCTGTGAAAATTATTGTTCTGAATTCTGAATTGATCACTAATCTCACGACAAAAAAAAATTAACAAGAGTCTTCGAAAATAATAATATTGAAAATTCTTGCAAACTATAATAGAGCCTCTCGCTAAGAAAATCCTTTGTGGATTTTCGAAATTACGTACAGATTACTATGCATTTCAGGTAGTTTGGAAGATGATTATACATCTTGAGACCATTATACAATATAGAATTTTTAATTAAAGTAGTGTTACGTATGGGAAGACTTAAATTTAGGTTCTGGCGTGTGGTGTAATGAGAGATAATAGAGGGAAGTTCTGTTCTATGTTTATGCACTGAACAAACTGTTTCTAAAATGAATAGAGCATAGTTTGAAAGATGATTATACATCTTGAGACCATTATACAATATAGAATTTTTAATTAAAGTAGTGTTAGGTATGGGAAGACTTGAATTTAGGTTCTGGCGTGTGGTGTAATGAGAGATAATAAAGGGAAGTTCTGTTCTAAGTTTATGCACTGAACAAACTGTTTCTAAAATGAATAGAGCATATAGTGATAAAATTTTGTTTGCTACAAACAAAGGCCTACAAGAATCTCGCCGCCTGGCTCTACAGAAAAATCTTAATGACGTTTTCTGCAGAATAAAAATCGACTCGAGTCGAGTTTGATCACTTACCCCCCAGAAAAGTATCCCATATCTTAGATGTGATTCTACTTATAAATAATAGACAGTTTTAGCTGCAGTTAGTTCTAGTTCGTTAGAAGTTATTTTCACAGCATAACATCCAGATGAAAGTTTTTTGTTAAGAGATATTATGTGGTCCTCAAGTTTCAATTTACTATCAATTAATAACCCAAGAAATTTGTTGCATGACGTGTTCTCAATCACATTCGAATTTGACGCTGGACAACCCTATCATATATTTATTGACGGGTATGCTCATATAAGGGCACAAAAAAATTAAATAGTATATGCAGAGCACGATGTTTTAGAATTTTTTTACTATCTACTGGAAATAATTTCTATTATTTTATTTTTGAATGAACAAAACTATTTGAGTTTTATGAAATGAAAGTCATTATTGAACAGTGTTGCTCCTATAATGATATAATTTTAAAGTTCGGAATTGTAAAAAGATTAATTAGACAAACATGTCGGTCACGTGCAAGTTTATTCATGAGTTTTTATTATCCGGGGATCTGTGAATATAAACAAAGTTTCATTAGTGGTGCTAACTATTACATATTTTCTGCCAACCCATCTCATTAATGAAGGGTGCGGTATAGGTTTCATAACAACCCAAAAATAAGTCTGATACGGGGGTTTGTACTCCCTGTATTCGAGAGGAAATCTGTGAATGTTATCGTCGCTCCACTCACAAAATTCAAAGACATGTATTAACAGGTAAGTTATCAACTTTTGGAAATTCCGCTCATTTCTATACGCCAAAAGACCGTTGGTGTTCGTTGGATTCAGCAAATAACTTGAACTGTCAATTAAGTTTGATTGCGAATGAAGTAGTACATAAATACAGAAACATAAATTGTAGTACCAAACTTGTTGTCTGCTAATGTACGATACATCTTCAATACAGTGTTGTTTCAGGCGGCACAGAACTGCCTTTGGCAACACTTTTTTCCTCTGGCTACAGTGCTGCACGTTTTTTTCTGAAATCATGCGAAAAATGCATCTTTTCATACACTTCAATACTAGATTTTAACCCTGTTTTTTGGTCAAGCATAATCATACATCCTTTAGAAACAGAATGTTATGTGGGAAAAGTAAATCCACCTTTATCTGCCATATAGAAGAAAGCACAATTATCAAAGTGTCGTTTCTGTTGTCTTGCCATCGTATATCATCACTATTCAGAATCGGAAAATGTCCCATACTGGGTAAAACAATGTTTCTGTATTCCCAAATGTTCGTTTTGCTCGAAAACTTTTGAGAAAAGAGCCGATAATCACAGCACTTTCATGAGGAATCTGAACGTTGGTATTAGTAACCAGTGGGAGAGAACAGAACATAAAGAGAGAAGGAGGAAAAGAGAAAAAAAAGGAGGAACAGAAAAATGGAGACAAATGCCCACTGACTATATGTGAAAAGTTTTCTTTCTTTATACGAGGAATTGGGCAAATTTCGGATATGCGGTTCATTAACTCGTTCACAGGCAGATGGGGCGATGACAAATCTATTGTTTGTTGTCCACCTCAGCTCGGTTTCAGGAATGATTCTCTGAAGGAATTCGATTTTCAATTATCGGAAATCATCGACTTTATGTTAATGACGAGTGGCTAACTAGCCCAGAACCGGTCTGCAAGTGTGTTCTATTAATTGAAAATCTATTGCGGCAGCATATGCAGGAATAATTCAAGTGAAGAATTCTGCACTGACACCTGTCGGATAAAATCTAACACCCTTCATGGTATTAATCAGGGAATATTTGTTTTCTGATAGGTATCAGTCTATTGAACTACAGTGTAGGAAGTTGAGACTAGCCTGACAGTGGAACAGAGAAATAGATAGAGAAATGGAGACAATGAATCAGAAAAGAGAGGCAAAAAGAAAAAACGAAAAGGAAGAAAGATAGATGGAGAAAAAGAGAAAAAGAGGAACAGGGGGAAACAGAGAGAATGAAAAACAAAGAGAAAGATTTAGAATGAAACAAACTGAAAGATAATAAAAATGAAAGAGGAAAAGAGAGGAAGAAGGAAAGCAAAGAGAAAAGAAATGAAGAAAGAAAGAGGGGAGTTGAGAAGAAACACTTCTATATTTCAGTTCAGACTGAGTCAATGAAATTAACTAACGTCGATTTCAACAACACTTATTTTTCGAAAATATGGTTATTGATCGTTAATAACTAGAGTTCAGGTTTACAAAAAGTGAACATCGGTGCATTGAAGTGCAACTTTTCTTTGTAAAGTGGTGCAACTCAAAAACTCGTCTGGAAAACACTGCTTCAGTGTTATACGCAAAGTTACTACCAGCCCAGACTTTGTTCTCTTTAATCGTGGCTTCAGCTGTTGAAGCCTAGGTTTTTGTACAGACTTGGACTCAATTGTTAAAAGCATATTCCAAATCATGGAACTGAAGATAACAGTCTTTATCTTCTCGATAGCCAAGCGGTTCGACGTGGGTGCTTTGTTCACTCCCTCGAATTGACTGCCGTGTTGGTCGGTGGTTCAAGCCGTATTCTAAACTATCGATCTTCACTTGCTATCGTCGAACCCGTCTTAGGAATCACACGTTAGAAGGTGAGACCTCGTTAATCCTCAGCTCGCACAAGTTTCGACTTCTGAGGGTTGTTGTTCGTAGGGGTGCGACAGCTGGTTAACGGAAAAACAGATTTTAAACAGATTTAAACTCAATATCGCATCTATTTCTAGTATGATTTTGTAGTATTACTAACCGATATGCCGACATCCTCAGCAACTTCATTGATGGTGTTACAATTTTCTTCACTTCCTCAACATTTTCATCAGTTGTTGATGTACTGGGTATTGCAAGGCAAGCGTCATTATCCATGTCTTCTGCACATTCTGTGAAATGCGTGTAGTTAGCTTCATTAGAAGAGCCGATAACAAAACGTTCCATATTCACATTGAATATGGAGTTGTAGTTATAGAAACCTTGTGAGCTCAGAGCATAACCAATGCCAGTGTCAAACTCCATGGGTGGGTAGAAGTCGGCGCTCAACTCGCTGGAGTGTCTCTACAATGGGAACGTACGTGACATGGATTATGAATGTTCACTGATTCGCGTATTTTTGCTGCAAAAAAACTAGACATACCACACAGATAAAATTCTGAACATATGTTCGAGAGTGTACTAACATAAAAAAATTAGTTGTTCGTAGGGGTGCGACAGCTGGTTAACGGAAAAACAGATTTTAAACAGATTTAAACTCAATATCGCATCTATTTCTAGTATGATTTTGTAGCATTACTAACCGATATGCCGACATCCTCAGCAACTTCATTGATGGTGTTACAATTTTCTTCACTTTCTCAACATTTTCATCAGTTGTTGATGTGCTGGGTATTGCAAGGCAAGCGTCATTATCCATGTCTTCTGCACATTCTGTGAAAAGCGTGTAGTTAGCTTCATTAGAATAGCCGATAACAAAACGTTCCATATTCACATTCAATATGGAGTTGTAGGAATAGAAACCTTGTGAGCTCAGAGCATAACCAATGCCAGTGTCAAACTCCATGGGTGAGTAGAAGTCGGCGCCCAACTTGCTAGAGTGTCTCTACAATGGGAACGTACGTGACATGGATTATGAATGTTCACTGATTCGCGTATTTTTGCTGCAAAAAACTGAACATACCACACAGATAAAAATCTGAAGATATGTTCGAGAGTGTACTAACATAAAAAAATTACAAAAAGAATCGCTAATAAAATGTACGTAGCCCGAAAAATTTGAACATTCATCTTATTTTTTGAACTCTTCATGTATTACGAATATATGCATTGTTGGTACACCTGGTAAACGTTTGCTTTTCAGAATCTTATGGTTTGTGATAGTACTAACAGCAATGGCCCTATCTGTCTACTACATTTTAGAGATCTACAACAAATACGAAGAAAATCCCTTCATCGTCAACTTCGCTACGAGAGAGTCCCCAATTTCCATCATACCGTTTCCAGCTGTCACAATATGCCCAGTGGTGAAAGCAACAAGAAAAAAGTTTAATTTCACTGAAGCAGTTCACAATATCTTGGATGATATATCTATCAGCGAAGATAAGTAAGTTATTTTACGAGCAAAATGTATAATTTGACAAACATGACTGACGAAACATTCAGCAAGGTTTATGGCTTTGTGAGTGGAAATACAAAAATATGTTTGTTTGCGAAGAACGTATTTAAACATCATAGAGGATAATCTCACCATTATCTGAACCATTATTGCGTGATCATTCTTGAAAAAGTTATAGAAATGAAGCATCTGGAAGAAATCGTATATACAGAGTCATCCCCAAAGTATACACCATATGGGAAACTTATTTATTGAAAAAAAGTTATTCTTGATAAAAGTTTGTGCATCCCCTGAAACTAAACAAGCACTAACGAATATTAATGGAGTTTTTTTCCCAACACCAAATCGTTATTTTTAACACCTCGACACGTTTTTTGATCACCAAGTGATCATCTTCAGAGAGGAAGATTAAAACTAGAAACTAATGCGAGCTAACCCTATTTATGCTATATAGTTGTCCCATACAGGTAAACCATCCAGGCGTACCACCCATACAGGTATACCAACCTGAATTGATTTTACAATTTTGCCTTATCTATTATTTTACAATATATGTTTATATAAAACAATTTTCAGCTATATAAAAATCAATTTCACAATATTGCCTATCCAAATTTAATTTTGCAATGTGTCCTTGTGTAGTAATCAGTAAACCCAACAATATTATATAAACAAGCTAAATAGTATGCTCTTTGGTATAGGTCCGTCATCGTTATTCATAATATTATTGTGTTCACTTATCTCTACACTTTCATAGGCATCTAGTTGCCTGTTATTGTTAACTTGTCTAACTAATCTTAATGAACTGAAGTCTATGGAATGGTTTTGTTGCGAAATATTTTGGGCAAATGATGATTTTTCAGGTCTTCCATATTTTGAGTGTGCTATGTGTTCCTTATATCTTACTCTAATAGATCTCTTTGTCTGTCCATAATATTTTGCATCGCAGTCCTTACATTCAATTTCGTGAATTCCAGACTTTTCCGAATTCTCGACTTTGTCTTTTGGACTTCCCAAAAGGCTCTGTAGTGTATGACTTGTTTTAAAAACCACTTTAATACCTAGTTCCTTGAAAATATTTCCAAAGTTCCTCGTATATTGGTGGTATGGAACTGAGATGTATTTATCTTGGTTTTTACCCTTTCTGAAAGTCGAGATTTCGTTCATTCTCAACCTAAACTTCTTCTTCCTTTTTATGTCATCTACAATACCCCTCGAGAAACCGTTAGTAGCTGCTATTTCCTATATTGTACGTCTTTCTTTTGAGAACCTATCATGTGTTAGAGGGAAAGTCAAAAGACGATGCACTAAAAAATTCAAACCAGCACGTTTGTACTGTCTACAGTGATGTGAACTGTCAGGAATATACCTGTACGTGCTTGTTTCTTTTCTAAATATATAGTATTCTAACCCTCCATATTGGCTCCTCATTACCAAAACGTCAAGAAGTTGTAGTTGTCCCTTATTTTCTAAGTCATACGTGAATTTTATTGATGGAAATCTATTATTTAAAATGTAAACAAAGTCGTCAATATTTGATTTTTTGGTATCGAATATCGCGAAACTATCATCCACGTACCTTAGCCAAATCCTAAGAAAATACGTCGACTTTTCTTTGGTTTCCATTTCGAATCTGCTCATGAACATGTCTGCCAGGTAGGGGGACAAGGGGTTTCCCATGGCCGTTCCTTCCTGTTGTTCATGAAAGCAACCTTCTACCTGGAATCGATTTTGTTTCATACACAAATTAGTAAGAGAAACAAATTCGTCGATTTCGTTATTATTGAAATTATTTTTCTCTAGTAATTCCCTGTGGTATTGCAAGGTCTGTGGAATTGAGACGCTAGGAAATAAGGAACTAACATCAAAAGAAACCAAAATCTCACCTTCTTGCAGAACCACGTTTTTTGTAGGTGGTATGAACTCTAAAGAGTTTTTTATACTAAAACTTGGTTCCGCAATAGACAAGGCTTCAAATTCCTTAGTGAGCCACTTTGCTATTTGATAGGTAGGAGCTCCAATAGCTGACACGATGGGGCGCATTGATTTTCACCTTTGTGGATTTTCGGGAGGCAATATAGTTTCGACATCGTTGGGTTGGAAACTTGTAACTTCCGTTTCAGTTGAAGGAGTAAGTATGTTGTCGCATGTCTTAAGGACGTCTTTTACTTCGGCAATCATCTTTGGTAACGGGTTCCTGAACAATTTCGCATACGGTCCGTTAGTAATGAGAGTATTGACCCTTTCGTAGTAGTCCGATTTATCCAGAATTGCTACTTTGTTACCTTAGTCGGCTTTCAAATAAAAAACGTCCTTTTCTCTCAATCGTTTGATAAGTTTCTTTTGGTTTTTATTGTTTATTGAATGCTTCCGTTTATCTGTTATCTTGTTCTTGGAGATTTAGTTCCTAACCTTTTCTCGAACTAGTCCCTTCGAGGAATCGGGTCGGGTATATATTGGATCGAACTTTCAACACTAGCAACGATATCCTCAAGAACTTTCTCGGAAGGCGGGATGCCAAATTTCAAACCGTTGTTCGAAAGGTTGATCTCTTCCTTATCAAACGATTGTGATGAATGATTTTCAACACTATTTATGACTTTCGGAGTGATTTCTTTCGATTTATGCTTAGATATGAGGGTTTTGAGTTTTTTATTGAGCGTACACTTTTTTCTGATATATTTTGATTCAATCATCCGAAACATTCCTCTCTGAAAGTCATTCCATTGTACGTAATCATTTTCGTCTAATTTATATGTTAGTTTTTTAAAATGTCATTTGGAAAAGTTGTTCAGCATTGAAAAATACATAAATATTTGAATCCATTTTTTTAAATAGGTACTACGAAAAAACATTGCTAAAACTGTATCCGATGGTTTATTTTTAAAGCCTGTAATATTACGAATTACACAACTATGAAGAGTGAAATGATTTTTTATTTTTTGTCTACACCAAAAATTACGCAAAATCATACAATATTGTAACAAGAACTCAATTTTCAATAATATCAAATCACGAAACATCAAAATAGAATAGGTATTTTGGAACAAACTCATTGATTTTCTAGATAATATTTTGAAAAATTATTTTGGACAAGAAAATCTCCAGAAAATCAATGAGTTTGTTCCGAAATATCCGTTTCATTTTGATGTTTTGTGATTTGATATTATTGAATAATGAGTTTTCGTTACAATACTGTATAATTTTGAGTAATTTTCGGTGTTAACAAAAAATAAAAATATTTTTGCACCAAAAACTTTGAAAATTATTTCACTCTTCAAAAAAATTGACCGTGGTTAACACCATAGGGTTGTAATTCGTAATAATACAGGCTTTTGAAATGAATCATCGTATACAGGATGCTGTCTATTTATCGTATAAATAAGTTTCCCATATGATGCATTATTTGGGGATGACACTGTATATACTTCAATCGATTATTGATCTGAAAAAGACATACTTCAAGAATAACTCAGAAGAAACAGCTCCAGATTGTTTCATTGTTATTGGCTTTTTGGCAACCCTATCCTGCATGAGATATTGAGGCATCATTTTCCGTTACTGGAACTTGCACGTTTAATCGGAGGTAATCACCTGAGTCAAATATATATTTTTTTAAATTCTCAAAAAATTCAGTGTCATTTTAGAAATTTCAAAAAATGCCAAAGAGTAGTCTCTCAGTATACAATTTTATACTCTTGCTCGAAATTTGGACTTTTTTCCAATTTTTTTATTTATCAAATTCTTCGCTCTATCGATTCCAATGATTCAAATGATTCAAGTTCCATAATTTTTATGAATACGAGACTTCAATGTCATATCTTGCCCAGAAAATACCCGTATTGGCCTGTTACCAAAAAAATAAATAAATACACCTCCAGAAATTCGTCTTTATTGTTGCAAAGTTCATCTAATTCTTTCATTTCATTGTTAAACTGATTCGGATTCCCAATGTATGGACGTTGTATTCGAATAAACGTATTTCTCTCCATTCTCATTACATTCGTATTCCCGTGTTAACAGATTTGTATCCCATTAGCGGCAGATGAGTTCGAAATATTTTGATGCAGTTTACACCCAATAGTGTGACTGTTGGATGTAAACTGTTATATGTGGTTATCGAGCAAATAATAACGTTTCTTGAGTTGATTTTGTAAATCTTATATCCTCCATTTCCACCATCAGATGTGTGAATAAAATTAAACCAAAATAACTGTAACCAAATTCACAACGAAGCAACAAAACATCCATCGATTTATCTCAATAATCTTATAAAGAACCCAAATTCATGATTCAGTAAGCTGTTTTTCCCGTTCTGTACAAATTATAATCCTTTCATTCACAGACTTTGTGACATTTTCAATAAATAGGATATTTATGTCAGCACAACACTCCCGAATGGTATTCTCTAAATGTTCAGTGCTCATTCACTTTTTATTTCAGATAATCCCATAAAAAAAAGTTCATTGGACATAAGTCCGGTGATCTTGGTGGCCAATAATCTTCCCAATCTCGTTCTATCACTACGTCGTCAAACATCTGACTGAGACACTGTTCCACGTCTAGTTTGGTGAAACGACGCCCCATCAAGCTGATATCTACCTGTAGGGAAATGCGATATCATTTTCTCTCCCACTTTGGAACCAGAATCAAAATTCCACTCGAATATCGAAATCCCTTCTTCTCACAATTTCTCTGCCAACCCTTATATCTTCACTAATACTCCTAATATTATTTTTTCCGTTTTCAACCACGCCCAAACAAACCTTCAGTTGTTCTTCTTCATTATAGTTTACTGGATTATGTGGTTTCTTATTTTCAATATCTTTTTCGTGGTATTGAAGTGAATATTTTTTCCTGATTGAAAAAAAAAACAACAAAGACGAATTTCTGGAGGTGTATTCCATTTCTTTTTTGGGCAAGATATGACATTGAAGTCTCTTAATCATGAAGATTATAAAAGTTGAATGATGATTCGAAAAATCGAAAAAATTGGAGAAAAGTCGAAGTGACATAATAGAGTCCAAATTTCGATCAAAAGTATAAAATTGATAACCGAGCAACATTTTTCCTTCGATTTGACAGGTTTAGAGTATCACATGACAAAAGAAAAGAGGATGTTTTTTTCTTCAAGCACGAACTAACTGTCAAATTATCATAATATCAAATAATGAAGAAAAAAAAACATAAGAGTGAATGCCACCCCGGAGTTGGAATAGAAATGATTATACTTTTATCGAAAGGTCACTCAATACAAGAAACACTAACCTAGCCATAAACCTCATGAGGCTGTTGAATTATTAATAACTTTTGAAATTCTGGTGGAATATTTTACAACTCCTAGAAACCATTATTCAGTATTCAAGGTTTTTTTCAGACTGAGGAAAACTCAATATTTGTCTTCGGTTTGTGCAAATATTGGCGAATCTTACAAGGAAAAATTACCGTTAGTTGATACTTTCACAGAAGATTTCTATGATCAACTAGATTCTGTAAGTTTGCTTCTATTTTTATATTATATTCTATGATAAACCCCATATTGAGTTGCTTTTTATTATCAATTGAACGGTTTCACTAAGTTTGCCTTTTTTGTTTGTTCATTTGGGCCAAATTTAGTGATTGAAGTTTGACCCCCATCCTGTTGACAGATTGATCTGAAATTTGGTATTAGTTTTGATGACAATACAATTTAATAAATTCTGTATCATTGTAAATCCAAGATGACCGCAGTTATAAAATGGCGGATTACATTATATGTTTCACAACTACCTTATTATGGGTATCAAATGGCAGGTCTTGACTAGTAAAATAGTAATGAGTGATTTTTTTGCTGGTATATTTTTGGCAACACTGTTTTTGACAGATCACGGGTGAATTGTGTCTTGTGTCATTGTCAAACTTGTTCAGTTTGGTCTATTATTCAACCATGAATCGACTTACGAATGAACAACGTTTGCAAATCATTGAATTTTATTATCAAACTCAATGCTCGGTGAAAAAAGTGCATCGTGCAGTTCTTCCAATTCATGGGCAGTTCCGTCGGCCTACTGAGGAAGCTATTCGGAAGCTTGTGACTGAATTTCGAACCAAATTCACATTATTGGACATCAAACCAACAACATGCATACATAGAGTGAGGACCGAAGATAATATTGCGGCTGTATCCGCCAGTGTTCGTGATGACCGTGAAATGTCGATTCGCCGCCGTTAACAGCAATTGGGCCTCTGTTAGTCCACTACGTGGAAAATTTTGCAAAAGGATGTGGGTGTAAAACCTCACAAGTTACAGTTGGTGCAAGAATTGAAGCCACACGACCTCCCACAACGTCTAACATTTGGTAAATGGGCGCTGGCAAAGTTGGAGGAAAATCCACATTTTTATCGAAAAATTGTGTTCAGCGACGAGGCTCATTTCTGGTTGAATGGATACGTTGACAAGCAAAATTTTCCGCATCTGGAGTGGAGACCAGCCACAAGCATTGCAAGAGCTACCGATGCATCCCAAAAAGGCACTGTTTGGTGTGGGTTATGGGTCGGTGGCATCATCAGACCATACTTCTTCAAAGATGACAATGGCTGGAACGTTGCTGTGAATGGCGAGCGCTACCGTATGATGATTGACGACGTTTTGTTGCCCAGAATGGAAGAATTAGACATGCCTGACATATGGTTTCAACAAGACGGTGCCACATGCCATACGGCATGCGTAACAATGGCCCAATTAGGAGCCGCCTTCGGTGAACAGTTCATCTCACGTTTGGGTCCGTCAATTGGATGCCTAGATCGTGTAATTGAACGCCTTTGGATTATTTCTTGTGGGGTCATGTCTACAGGGATAAACCAGCAAAGACTGACGTTCTGGAAGCCAATATTGAAGCAGTTATACGTGAAATACCGGTCGATATGTTAGTGAGAGTGTGCCAAAATTGGACCTTAGGCATGGGCCATCTAAAGCGGAGCCGCGGACAACATTTGCATGAAATCTCTTCAAACATTGAATTATATTGATCGTTCTATCGATTCCAATGAAGATTTCATAATTTTTTTCAAATTTTTTGTGTCGTTTTGAAAATCAAATCCTATACCTCCTAATCACATCACTCTCCTCAGCACTTTCTGGTATTGATCACATAAAAAAAATAAATTCGTTGGATCTAGTATTTACATAATCACTCAGGTTACGCTTCGCCTAACGATTTTATAATTTTTTTATCTGATAAATACCGTAGATTGCTCAGGAGAGTGGTGTGATGAATGCTACCTAGGACCTCCCGAATTATATTTTAGTTTATAGTACATTATCCATATTATATATTTATTTTCATTTTGTGAAATTATAAAATAACAATAAAAATTAATTGACGCTCCGGGGCGACTTCATTGATTCCAGTGTCGCATTTATTTTCTAGCTGCAGGAAAACCCAGAAAAACCTGCAGCATCACATCATCTTAAGATCTTAATCTGCCAATGCATATTATTATTATTTTTTTAAACGAAAACGTACAACATAATTTTTGTTCACTTATTTCATTTTATTTCTTCACCACTTTCACCCCTCTTATTAAGGTGGTAAAAAGCAAATGAAATTTCCTTTCCCATTTTTCATGATTGTCATTTTCTCGACCAAGCAAATTTTGCATCCCCCAGTTATTTCAATACTGGTTGCTAGTTGCTGCCACTGCCACTGATATATCCAATACATCATGTTTAGTTTTGCCCTCATGTCTTTTTGTAGATATCTCTAGGTACCATGAGATACTTCCTAAATTTTGATTCCTCTCAGTTGTATTCCTTTACCAAGAAGCCCCTTCTTTTTTTCGCTTGATCTACCCTTTTCATCCGACATAGAACCTGATACATCTGTATCCTCACCTGCATAGCTAAGTAGTTGATTTCTGTTACATTCCGCAAGAAGGAGCATTTCGATTATGAGCCTCTAATATTTTCCACTCATACATCCACGATGTTTCTATAAAACCTATCATTTCTCTTGACATGTGTAACTAATTTCAGGTTAGAAGTCAAAATTGATACACTATGTAGAATTCTTGCACCTTTTGATGATTTCTTTAAGATATTTTTCTAGACCTAACTCATTCTAAATCCATAAAGTTTGATGATTGGCTCTGCAGAAGTACTTTCTTATCTGAACGGTGATTGATTGCTACTATGATTAGCAGTTTGGTCTTTGATCGAGAAGTCACTTAGATGGTTTGGATAAGTACACCCACTAGCAGGAAATTTATGAACCAGATACATGTTTATTGAAAATATATATTTGAAGAAAAGTAGCACTGGCTAATGGTATCAATAACTATAACAATCGACGACTTTCTCAATTCCAGTATTGGGATGAGAGTGTGGTAGAAAGTCAGACAGGTCAGACAATTCCACTTTTTGCTTCGATAAGTTTGTTGGGGGTTCAAATGGATACCAATATGTCTTGGCGCAATCATGTCGCTGGAATTGCAAAGGCTGCTTCTCGGAAGCTTGAAACGCTTGAAACACTGTTTCGAACCAGAAAACTGTACACACTTCAGCAACTTTTGCTGGTTTATAAAGCTCAGATCAGTCCTTCTTTGGAGTATTATTCTCATGTATGGAGCTCTGCTCCCAAACATACCCTGAAGTTACTGGATTCTATCCAGAAAAGAGCCATCCGCCTGATTGGAGACGCGAACATCACGTGCTACCTTGATAGCCTGAAACATCAAAGAAAGATTGGAGATGTGTCTCTCTTCTATAGATAATTTCTCGGGAGGTGTCCAAGTGACTTGGCGCATTTGATTCCACAAGAGCAGTACATATCAGAAATGCGCGACGGACTGTGGCTGCTTATCGTTTTGAGGTTCAACTCAGTACATCTCGAACTTCCACTGTTTAGGAACTCTTTCATCTGGAGAACTGAGTATATGTGAAATAAACTTCCTGAGAATGTTTTTCCAAATGGATTTTTTCTCCAGCGAATCAAATCCAACGTGAATCGCTACTCTCGCACAGGCACGGCTCTGGGAGCGCCTTAAGGAGTTTCCTGTAGTGCTTGTGTTCTGTCCTTGAAAAAAAAAAGGTATTGGGAAACATTTGAGCAATTGGGATGTCCAATGCTGAACTCCTTCAAACATTACACTTGCATTTCTTTAAAGTACTGAGATAGGCTAGAAAATCATTGGTCAAGGAATCAGATAGATGGTTCGTTTTTTTCAAAAGATAAATACAACCACTAGTAGGAAACGTATGAACTAGATGCATGTATATAGAAAATATGTTTTTGGAAGAAAGTGGCAGTGGCTGATGAGATCAATAACTTTCTCATTTTTTGAAGTCATTTGAATCTTCCCTACATGAGTTATTGATACCAGTATAATGAATTCACTGATTCAGAAACCATTACTTATTTTTTACTTGTAGTATTTCTTCATTTGTAGATGAAGCCCAATTATGAATTGATGTTCTTCGGATGCGGGATGATGGATATGCCTTGTGTGAATGAATTCACACCAATTATACTGGATGACGGTGTTTGTTATAGTTTCAACATGTTGAGTCGAGAAGATATTTACAAGGATAATGTGTAAGTCCTGAAACAACTAGCAATCGATGAGGCTTTATCCATACTCGGAGTGCCCAAATTTTCGGAGCCTCAAACCGAGGTTACTACTTGATGTGCTAGTGTTTCTTCAATTTCAATATAAATCAATTTGTGATATTTTACAGCGTTCACTATTGTGACTACCATCAGAATCTACGTTTCACTAACTGGACTAATGATAATGGTTATTCAAAAGTAATTGGTGCGAATGCATATCCATATAGAGCATTTCTTGCTGGAGCTGATAGTGCTCTAGAAATATATCTGTTGCAGATAGAGGAAGACTTAGACTACTTGTGTGCCAAGGACACACAAGGATTCAAAGTAAGTTCACTAATTTTCATAGAGTGAATATTTTTTATGCGAACACTGTTCAGCAACTTTCAATATCATTTTTGGAAAATGAATTTGCCCTTGAATGAAAGAAGGCAGGTTTTTGAGATCAGTTTTTTTGAAAAAATATTTTTGCCTCAAAGTTCAAAGTAGAAATCTGCAATTAAACTCTCATATGTCATTTACGGTTTGTCAAAAAGTTGTCGGTGATGGAGACAATACCTCTCTTATGAATCTCCCAGACCACTTTTTTACGCCACTTTGGAGATGTCTGACTTGACTTTTCTCCAAGTCTCCGGTGAGCACTGCTTTGGGGCTCAATGCGTTTTCCCCAAACTTTTTCATGACACCCATCAAAATAATCGTTTTCTCTGTAGTAGTCTGTATAGGTCTCTAGCTGGACGCACGTCATATCCTTCTAGACACTAGCACTATAACATTGTTCCAAGCCGATCCCTGCTTTGTTGAAGCAGTTTTTTGGTTCTCTGTTCAGACTGTCCCTAAATGAAGGTTGTTCACATTGAATTCCCGGGTGGATTCTTCCAGTTCTTTTCATGTTTCTCATGAACCCATTTTCTATCTGGTGCCGATCCAAAGATTTTGGTACCCTCACTCCTGGTTCAGGACCTATTTATGGAGTTGAGGATCCGTTTTTGGCCCACTCGTCAGCTTTTTCTTTGCTCATAATACGTGAATGTCATGACACCCACAATATAATTATTCAATACTCGTTTGTCAGTTTCCCCAGTTCTTCACGGTAGTCTCGGACTAGACTTGATGTCACTTGTGGGTATGTCACTGCTCCTAATGTAGTCTAGCTTTCTACGGAAATATTGGTCCGCTCATTTTGTTGAGGCCTCGAATTATTGTTCTTTGCGCATCACAAAATTGCACACACTTTCATCAGTTCTGACTTTCATTGTTTACTATCATATAAAATGATTTGGCAATCACCTACAAACATGTTTGATGTTCGTTCCTTCACATATTATATGTAGGTCGCTGAGCTTTCCTGTTCTGAATTAGCCCACTCTTACTTATCCGATTATAACAATAAATTAGTAATAATAATAATATGCTTTATTATCATAAGACATACTCTTGTAGACAAAGCTTGGGTAGTAATTGAGTTAAGATTCAAGTGTGTCTCCCATGCAGCTGAACTCTAATAGTGGTTTTCACAGCTCAGGTGCTCAGATTATTCCTAAATATGCACCCTGTTTGTGAATATCGGTCGTTTGTTTTATCTGTGGCCCTCAGACAATATATGTAAGTTTGTTGATGAGAGGCACTCAGTTAGAAGTGTTCTGCGTGTTCGGCAATTTCCAGCTATCGAAAGAAATAGATCAAAGAATTTGCACAAACTTTTGTATAAAGAATGAAACTGAGTGTTCCGTAACCATGCCTCAGCCACCGTGTTTTCTAGATTTGGCCCCCTTCGACTTCGAGGAAATAAAACTGAATCGCTGAGAGAACTCAAAATCATACCAAAAGTACATATCAGAACTGTTTCAAGGACTGAAAAAAAAAAACGCTGGCTAGTTACATCTGAGCTGGACTACTTTGAATTGCAGGAAATAGAAATTGATGAACAAGTTATAATTTTTTGAGAAAAATAAAAATTCACCCTATGTTTTGAACATACAACATATATATTATTGTGCTTTCAACCACCATGGTGTCAAGCTGATATATCGTGATATACTAGCTGTTGCTTAGATGCTCAGCAGTAATATGATGTTATGTCTCAGACATACTACATCATATACTTACCCGGCTTAGGTTCGAAATTCATTCAATGATCATCATCTGAACTGATAGTTATAATATAATATCATATTTATGCGAAGTATATTCTGGAATGGATATGAAATCTTCAGCGCAGTTGTTCCTTTGTTCAATGGATCATGAAACAGTACACTTCATGTAAGTTCCTTTGCAGATGACAATCGGTGAAAAAATCATGTCGTCTACAGAATATATATTTGATAAGATACGTTACTTTCACGAAAACTCCGTCTATGAGGTCGACAGAAGAGACAATCCGTTGTCTCAAATAAAACGTCGCTGATTGGTATTGGATCACGAAAACTTTGGCTTTGAACTCTGTTTTCATTAATATACCTATGATCATTGATAACAGTGCAAATACTCGAATGCGAAGCAGTGTTTATGTGTCACAGTCATCAGATCGTTATGATTGCAGTTGAAGTTAGCTTAGTTAGAATGCTCCTTTCCTCAAGAGATGAAGTACTTCATTATAGTTGGGTTTCGATATTTTTGTAATCGTGGTATAACCTGCCTAGGAACCTCAGCGACTGTATTTCAAGCAGAAATAGATGCTATTGAATTATGTGTGCAAAGATTTGAAGAATCCAACCTCATACATAAGTCAATAAAAATATTCTCGGACTTTGGAGGCTTTGGAAGCTCTTGGCTCCTACCGAGCAACGTCTAAATTGGTAGCAAATTGCCAAAAACGACTTTTCTCGATAGGAAGACTTAACAGATTGTATCTGGTCTGGATTACTGGCCATACTGGCCTGGAAGACAATGAGGCTGCTGACTCCCTTGCAGAAGAGGGTGCTGCAAGCAGATTCATCGGACCAGAACCTGTCATTGGCATCGCTTTGAGCTTTGCCAAACAAAGATAGGAAACCTGGATGGCAAGAAGATTCATGGACTTCTGGCAGAATCTTCCAGGATTGGCCCACTCCAAGGCGTTTATTCACCCTTCGAAGATTGATTCCAAACATGTGTTGGACTACAGTAGGGATGAACTACGATATCTAACAAGCCTTCTTACAGGTCACTGTCATTTGAATCATCATATGCAGATACTTGCGCTGTCGGAAGAAAGTGCGTGTCGCCTCTGTTTGGTAAATGATGAAACAGCAGAGCACATACTTTGTGCCTGCCCCACTGGGGACCAAATCTGGTTTTCAGAGTTTGACAGAGCCACACTCTGACGATCTGATCTGCAAGATATTAATCGGCTTCGTTAAGAAGCTGGGTTGCGGTGGAGGGTCAAATAGACCCACCCACTCTGTTCCTACCCTAACCTAACCTAACCTAATAGTGGTAGAACTTTGCGGAACTTTTCCTAAGAGTGTCCTGTCGGATTCCCCAATTTGAAGTTCATCTAGGCGTTGAAACGAATAAAAACCTGAAAGTGTGGGAACCAATAGAATGAATTGAATGAAGTTGTGTCTGAACATTTAAAACTCGTTTATATGTGACCTTTCGTATTTTCGACAGGTCGTACTGCATACACCTCACATCGTGCCTCAGCTGAAGAAGAAATCCATTTCTGTCCCTTGGGACAGTTCAGTGCAAGTTATGGTTCACCCCAAGATGATGACCACATCGAAAGAAGTGAAAAAATTCAAACCAAAGGACAGACTTTGCTATTTTTCCGACGAAAGGTCTCTGAAGTATTTCAAGATATATAACCCCGAAAATTGTAGAAAGGGTGTTCTTTCCAGGAAGATGAGCAGGTCACACCAAAACTCGCTGAACACACTCTCATATTGACGATAACTCCGGGCAGTCGCATAGGACATGTCTGACAGTCTCATTTTCCTTTTCACACATCCTGCATAGAGATTTTTCCACTAGCCCCATATTATGGAGGTGTTTCCTTAGTTGACAGTGACCAGTCAGAAATACTACTGTTGAGCGTAGATTTTTCCTGGTCATCGCTAGATATTTCTTCAGCGCCAACTTCCCAGGGTAGTCCAAGGTGATCCTGGCAACATTGCATCTTTTGATTCTATCCCATCTCTTTAGGGATTGAGCATGGGTGTACCATTTGTCTGGTTCCGCAATTGTCGAAGTCATCAGGCCATAGGTGCCAATGGGTCCTAAAATTCTCAGTCCAGCCGCATTCTTGGCTAAAGAGTCGGCAATGCGATTACCTTTACTCCTGTCGTCCACCCCAGGATAATGTTATTATCAACCTATCATTGTGTTATTATCAACTCACCTCAGGGTAATGTTGTTATCTACCGATGCTTTGGCTAAATCTTAGTGGCACTCTAGTACTAGCCCTGAGGTTACACGTTGTCTGTTCAAGACTAATAGGGATTGCCTGTTTATAATTTATATGTTTGCCGCTAATAGCTACGGCTGATGCGTTTTTTCTGAGAAAAAAAAAAGATATAATCTGAAGAACGGTGGGTCTTGCATATGTTTCTTGTTCGTCCAGCAGCAGGACTACGCTAAAATTATTGGAGTAGATCCTCTACAGACTGGTTTAAGGTTTCTCACTATTGCAAGACAGATCCGACTCAAAACAGCAATGTGCCTGATTTCAACGCGACTCGACTGCATGTATGAAACCTTCGTCTGAGAGAAATTTTGTGAACAAAACCTTAGGCGGAGAGGAAACATTTCATGTACCAATACTCCAATAGAGTCTTCATTCACGTTTTGATCTCTTCTTTATTGTTTGTAAACAGTTTATTTTATGGACATTGGCTCAATGCATAGTATCCTGAACTTTTCAAACGATCAAAATATGGAACATTTGAATTTCTCATACAACTATTTTTTAGGGGACAATTCAACGAAGATATGTGGCAACTCAAAGATGAAATGTATGAAACGTTCCCTTCGTAAGTATCAAGGTGGCGAATTTGTGTAGTGGGTGAAGTAAGTTTGATAGATTTAAAACTCTCAGCTGGAATCAATCCATTGAAAACATTTTTTTCCACACCAAACCAAACAAATCATCTTCTGGTGCGCGTTTCGCTAACCACATCAGCATCATCAGGAGATGACTACAACTGTAAACATGTTTGCAATGGGTTTCGAAGTAAATGAGTCTAGTCGACCCTGCAAGTAAGTATAAAGGCGAAGTGCTTTTCCATATCCGATAGGAAGAGTGAATCTCTGGCAATGATGAAAAATTCATTTTTGCTACTCCGAATCTTCCGAAAGTCCAAGTTTCTCCACATGTTGATTCAAAGTCAGAAGTTTTTGTCAACCTT